AAACCCATCTCTGTCATGGTTTTCTTTAAAAACAAATAGTTAGTGGCAAGCTTTAACAAATTGTTTTCTAGTCTACATAAAAAACAAACAAATAACATTTATTTTCATAGTTTTGTTCGTCATATAGATAAGCAATGATGATTGCTGGGCACCTATTCATGAGGAGCATACTCAGCATCCTTACTGTAATCTACCAAGGTCACCTGCTTTATTTGTGGGCAGGTTTTATTCACAAAAATGTCTAAAAAGCAGAATTTCCCACTGTGGAGCTGACCAGCACACATTTAGCAGAAGCGTAGAAGTAGTGGTATTGAAGGACATGAAACAATCCGAGCAGCACAGAATGCTCGTGCTGAAAGTGATTCATTACTATTTTGGGAGGTGATCATCAGGACATGTTTCTAGTTGTTGTCAGCAATAATTATTACACTTAAATTATATTAAATTATTAAAGTCAATTCAAACAAATAATTTTTCCACTGTCAAGAAAGGCAGACTGTCTGGACCTTGAGAAAACTGGTAAATGTGAGAAATATATCTCAAATGACACATAATGTACTGCCAAATATGAAATGTATGAGTGGTTCATTGCCCAGTGTTTACTCCCTTCCTTTGATTAAACTGAAAATAAACGGAAATGAATAAAAAGGGGGCAGGCAGAAACCTCAGCTTTAAAAATAGATTGTAGAGTCTTGTCCTATAACAACGTCAGTCCCTCCGAAATTGATAATCTTGTTAATACAGTCCCTCCAGAAAAACGCGATTATGCAATTGCATAATTCAATGCATAATCAGCCAAAGTCAGCATATTTATGCGGGGGCCGCATTTTTTCGAATACGTCGCACTACGTCGCTGCATAAATTGACGATTTCCATGCAAAATATGCGGGGCTCGCATGTTTTCATAATCACCGCATTTTCGTTGCAAAAAAGTCACATATATCTCAGCAGAAAGTTGAAATATATTGCGTTTACTTCACATAAAAGCAGCCATTTTCCCCTGTTGCTATGGGAACATTATGAAGTGACATAATTACGCGACGTGAACAACCAAAACCTCAAAGCCTTGGTCTTCCTTTACCACAACCAACGAGTCCGCAGTGGAGCATTTGAGAAGGAGGAGATGGAGGAGGAGGAGGAGGAGGAGGAGATGGACGTTCAGGGAGAGGGGATGGAGGATGAGGATGGCGAATGATTGGCCAGTGTTAGAGGCTACGCAGTTATAGTTTTCATTTACACAGTGGACTGTTGTAGTTTCATTCAGGAGTTGATGCAACTTTAGAGTTGTAAGATTGTACTGTTTTGTTACCAGTGGGTTAAATCATACTAGTTTCAAAAACCTTACAGTTGTAAGTATATTAGTAGTATGTAAATTTATGTTACAGTAAGAGATTGCACTTTGTGCATTGGAAGCACTTATTTTAACAGAAGATGTCTGTTTTGTATAGCTACCTCTGTAAAACAGGAAGCACACATTTAATTTTTTTATATTTTATTTATTCATTTTTACAGAAGTGGTAGCATATTCCTTTTGTAAAGCTACAGAACTTGTTTGACTCATCAATGTTTTGTAAGTTTGAGCCATGTGTTTATTAAGGTCTGAAATAAAATAATATGATAACTTAAATATTCCCAGCACTTTCTGTGATTTAGTATGCTTGCTTATCATAGGAAGTAATAAGAAATGACTCTTTACATTAAGGTAGTAGCCTAGTGAGAACAGGGTGTTGGGGTTTTATTTCATAAATATCTGCATATTCCATCGCATTTTTTAAGAAAACGTGCTGCATCATCAAGGATTTTTGCCCGCAACAATCACATAAAAGCTTTTTTTTGGAAGGACTGTTAATAGTGCTGCGGGCTCACTACGATCAACATTAGACTCTATCGCTCCTATAAAAAGGAAATTCTAAAAAACATAAGAGACTAGCACTTAGGTACAACCACCAAATTGAAGCAAAAAACAAGGAAATCGGAAAGGAAATGGCACTCTTCCAAATTATTAGAATGTCGCTCAATTTGGAAAGATAATCTTAAAACTTATAGAAAGGCCCTCCGTAATGCCAGAGAAGCCTGTTACTCAACACTAATAGAAGAAAATAAGAACAACCCCAGGTTCCTCTTCAGCACTGTAGCCAGGCTGACAGAGAGTCACAGCTCTATTGAGCCACATATCCCCATAAACTTAAGTAACAATGACTTCATGAGCTTCTTTTATAATAAAATTATTACTATTAGAGAGAAAATTAGTCACCAAATGCCCTCAACAGGTATCACTGGCTCTCCAAGTTTAGGAACTTTAACTAATGTAAACTCAGATATATATTTAGAATGTTTTTCTGCTATCATCAGTTAACTTCAATAATTTCTTCATCGAAGCCATAATCCTGTCTATTAGACCCCTTCCCAACTAGGCTGCTTAAAGAAGTTGTTCCCTTAATTGGCACTTCTTTACTAGATATGATTAATATTTCTTTATTATCAGGATATGTACCACAGTCCTTTAAAGTAGCGGTAATTAAAACCCTTCTTAAAAAGCCCACTCTTGACCCAGGGGTTTTAGCCAACTATAGACCGATTTTAAGTCATACTTATCAGATTGTTCGCAGTTTGTACATGTTAACGATGAATCTTCAATAAATACTACTACTACAATACTAGTCATGGAGTGCCACAAGGTTCTGTACTTGGACCAATACTATTTACTTTATATATGCTCCCTTTAGGCAACATTATTAGGAATCACTCCATTAACTTTCATTGCTATGCAGATGATATGCAGTTATATCTATTGATCAAGCCCGATGAAATTAATCAATTATCTAAATTACAAACATGTCTTAAGGATATAAAATCCTGGATGAGCTGCAATTTTCTGATGTTAAACTCAGAAAAAAACAAAATTCTTGTACTTGGCCCAAAAAACCTCAGAGACTCACTGTCTATTCAATTCAATTCAATTCAATTCAATTTTATTTGTATAGCGCCAATTCATAACACAAGTTATTTCAGGACACTTTTCAAATAGAGCAGGTCTAGACCGAACTCTTTAAAACATTAATTACAGAGACCCAACAGTACCACCATGAGCAAGCACTTGGCGACAAGGGCAAGGAAAAACTGCCTGTTAAAAGGCAGAAACCTAGGACAGATCCTTCAGCTCTAGGTGGGTGGTCGTCTGTCTCGACCAGTTGGGGTGAGAGAGAGAGAGAGAGAGAGAGAGAGAGAGACAGAGAGAGAGAGAGTGAGAGACAGACAGACAGACAGGTGCACAGCAACAACAGTACTGGCAATGGCAATCTAGCAGGACCATGGCAAGAGGCTCCACTAGGATCGATAAGAACCTGCGAGAAGAGAAAGCACAAGAACTCCAGGGAAGAAGTGAAGTTAGTGTCTAAAGATATAGCTACTCTAGATGGCATTACCTTGCCACTGTCAGGAATCTTGGAGTTATGTTTGATCAGGACATGTCATTTAATTCCCACATTAAGCAAACCTCCAGGACTGCCTTCTTTCATTTACATAATATTACAAAAATTAGACACATCCTATCAGATGCAGAAAAACTAATCCATGCATTTGTTACTTCTAGGCTGGATTACTGCAACTCTTTATTATCAGGCTGCCCCAATAAGTCCATAAAGACGCTCCAATTAATTCAAAACGTTGCAGCACGAGTACTGACAGGAACTAGGAAAAGAGATCATATCTCTCCTGTACTAGCTTCTCTGTACTGGCTCCCTGTAAAATGTAGAATAGAATTTAAAATCCTCCTCCTCACCTACAAAGCTCTTCATGGTCAGGCCCCTTCATATCTTAAAGAGCTCATAGTACCCTATTACCCCACTAGAACACTACGTTCTCTGAATGCTGGGCTACTTGTGGTTCCTATAGTCTCTAAAAGTAGAACAGGAGCCAGAGCCTTCAGTTACCAAGCTCCTCTCCTGTGGAACCAGCTTCCAGTTGTGGTTCGGGAGGCAGACACCCTCACCACATTCAAGATTAAGCTCAAGACATTCCTCTTTGATAAAGCTTATAGTTAGGGCTGGATCAGGTGAGTCCTGAACCATCCCTTAGTTATGCTGCTATAGGCCTAGACTATCGGGGGATTTCCCATGGTGCACTGAGCTCCTCTCTTCCTCTCTCTCTCTCTTTCTGCACTCATTCATGTCATTAGCTTTTAACATACAGTATATCAAAATAATTTCCACAGTTAATTTTGGGACTTTTCATAAAACAACAACAAACCTGTTGACACAAATGAAAAAGTGAGATATTAAATCGTAATATTTTTGTTGGGACATTTAGTATTATCCATAATTGTCACTACAGACTGCACAGGATCTCTAATAGTATAAAAGCACTACTCAAACTGACATAAGCAACAATATTAACTTTGCACTTGTCGAATGGAGGAAACAAAGGCATCGCCCTCTGCATGAATAATAAAATAATGCAAACAACCTGGTTTAGCTAGTGTTAGCTAACACATGTGCAAAGACAGTCAGTAAAGTAGTTGTACACCCTACCACTAAACACAAATGTGCATGAAAAATACACATAACCTCTTAAAATAACACAATTTTGATTTCTTACCTTGTTTTCAAACGTTTTCGACGGCCGTCGAAACGAGTTTCGAATGGCAGACAGCATAATTTGAAGCAGAGCGACCTGATATGAGATCATTAGGTCATATGACATGAAAACCTCTGGTCTGAAGTGAAAATACACCTTAAGTAAAAGTATTGCTTTTATTTTTTTCTCAGTGTTATTTACTTTTAGACAAACTAAACAAAATAACAACTTTTGTATCAAAGTTATCACATTATGATGTGGCTTCCGTGGTCACTCACTCACTCAGACAGACTCATATTTATCGGGCTGGCCCACTTTGTTGCGGTTCAACCAAATAAATGTGTGACTGAGTGAGTGCATGTGTTTACATGTGGGCATAAGCTTTATTTTTGTTTGGACAATTCTTTTCTTTTGTTCGCGTGTAGGGCCTGCAGACAGGAACCAGGGAGCTGCAGGAGATGGGCGTGAAGTTCTGCCAAAGCCTGCTGTCTGTAACCAAAGACACTCTTTACAGCAGGAGACTCATCAACCACATCGACCTGGACCACAACATCCTGGACCACAAATCTCACAAGTAAGACTCTATCATGGCAAGGCCTGTGGTATGTTCATTTTTATCAAAATGCCCTTATAGGAGCTCAAGCACAGAAGTCTCTGTTATCCAGGAACTTTTTCTTTATTGTTAGTACTTTTCCACTATGCATGCTGTCATAAAGCATTCAACACAAGTCAAGTTACACAGTATGTCCTTATTACACCTTATTGTTATTTAAAACCCTGTATTATACCATAATACACTAGATTTTTTTTTTAGATGATTTCAGCTGCAAATGGAAATGTTTGCATGTAGGTAATATATTTCTCTGTCCATTTTTTGCTCTTTACAGGCAGTTATTTTGGCAATGATTAAGAGTTTTGCAAGTCTAAATTGTTGAGTGTAGAATTTCAAATGATACATTAAGTTAAATGTTAGAAAAGAGAAAATTATTCATTTTTAACAACATCACATTTTATTTAACCATGTATACACCAAGTGCCCGGTGAGATCTAGTGTTTCTTGTATTTGTTACTGTGACAGTGCAAACTGTGGAGCAGAGTGAGCTCAGCCTTGTAGTTTTCAGAATTTTTGGCCTTAGGTCATAAATGGAGAGTCAAACAGCTGTGTGCTTACCTAAAGGTTGCCCCGGGCTACAATTGAGAGTGTGAAAGTGCTTATCCCGAAAGAAATCCATCACATATACAATACATATTTCTCCACTGACAGCAGCCTCAAGACCAGACCAAGACCAGAATGCATTTCAGCTTGCAGATCAATCCCTGTCTCCCTCACTGAATTTTGTGAACATCAACCAATAGCATGGTGCATGTTATGCAAACTAATATACGGATGTATGGTGGTTGGTATGTCGGATATGGATGTTAGCAGTGACGGCTGGTGGTGATTTTGGGTGGGTGGGCTAACAAATGCTTTACATTCATCAATACGTCACACAGCAGCAACAGTAGCATCACATCAAGTTACAGCAACAACATTGTATACTTTGTTATAGCAAGTGCTCTACGGCAACACTCCTGTCCCATTGTACTTCTAAGAAAGGATTTGTCCTCTTCAGTGTACTGAAATGAACACCTCTCTGACTCTGCAGATGTCATGGGGGTTGTGATGGCGATTTGCGTTACTTTCAGTGTTTCAGAAAAAGTTCTCTGAAGATTGCTCTCAGTCAGCATCCTCAAAAGTGACATTGCGGACTTTGGACCAGCAAACTCCACACTGCTGTACATCACCATCAGCTCACCTTTCAGTTTCTCTCTGCAGATCATTGGGTAATGTCCACATACAATGTCCAGCTGCATCTGCGGGAAAGTGTTCTTAAACAGCAGAAAGAGTTCAGGGTCAATTAGTTCGAAATACACAGACAAGTGCCTGGCTTTCTCAAAGCGAGCCTTTGACTGCTCGGCCATTATGTCGGCTACTGACACATCAGAGTATCCTGCGCGGCGTTGAAGCGCTTGCAGCGGCTGCAGCTGTGTCTGCATCTGGATGTGGCTGATTGTCGTCTGTGGTCAGCTTATCCTTCAGTTAAGATATGGAGCATGAAAAAATCTACAGGGCCTGTCTTGTTTTTAGAGATTCTGTGGTCCGTTTCTAAGAAAGCTGTAGAGAATATCTACATGCATGAGGGCAGAGTGGAAAAAATATTAAAAAAATAAAATAAAGCTAACGTCCCCCAGAAGTGCAGACAGGCCGTGCGCTTGTTGGATTGACACGCTGTCCCAAGAGTGATTGTCCCGTATTTTTTAAAAACACTGTTTCAAAGTGTCCTGAGGGTCAAACACGGTGTGGACGGTGCGGCTTTTAAAGTTCCACCTTGTCTGTCCTGACGCTTGGATCCTCCTGCCACACACTTCATCCAGGACTGCAGTTCTCTTGGGGACTTGGAGAAAAATGTCGCAAAAGCTGAGATGTTGGCAAAAAATATTCTGAGTGGTGTGTGAGATGAGCAGGCTGTTGCATGATCAGGTTTAACTGGTGGGCATAGCAGTGCGCAATGTGTGTGTGAGGAAACGTTTCCTTTAACATGGCCTGTAGGCTGGATGATGCGTTGCTCATTACAGCTGCCCCATCGTACGTCTGTGCAATCAGTTTGTTCTTCACTTATATGGCTGCAGCTTCTCCAGCAGCAGTGTTTCGAGTCCCGCCGCAGTTCTGTCCACTAACAGGGAGAAAGTGAGGAATCTTTCCACCACCATGGAGGCTTCAGTGATGTACCTGAGCACAATCCCACACTGGCTTACACAGGCCACATCTGTTATCTCGTCAGCTTGCACAGCCACAAAAGATGCCTGCGATATTTCATCCGCCAGTTTTTGTCCATATATAGCTAACATACAACTAGCAACTCATTTTGGCTGGTCTTAGATATGTACTTTGCAACCGGTGTGTTTGACAGGTGATCGGTTAATTGACTCTCTAAAAAAGAGAACTGGTCGACAAGGTCCCAAAACACGCCCCGCTGGAGTGAAGTGGGAGAGTCATCTGACCCCCTTAGGGCAAGCTTGTGTCCCCCACAAAATTTTATACAGTCCACATTCCGTGATAGTGAATGCCTGTTTTTCTTTACCAGCTCGTTGTGTCTCTGTACAGCGGTGCAGTGACCTTCATCAAGCTGACAGGCGAAGCGGTGACCTTCATCAAGCTGACAGGCGATGTTCACTTTACGAAGCAATGACAACTTTACACTATTTCCAATGTAAATGGATGGATGGTAATGGACCTGTACTTGTATAGCGCCTTTCTAGTCTTCAGACCACTCAAAGCGCTTTTACACTACGTGCCACATTCACCCTTTCACACACATTCACACAGCGATGGCAAAGCCCATCGAACAGAAGCTAATGCATTCACACACATTCACACACTGATGCACGGCACCGGGAGCAATTCGGGGTTCAGTATCTTGCTCAAGGATACTTCGACATGTGGCACCAGGAGCTCGGGATCGAACGTGGCTCGTGCTGCATTCATGTTTCCTAATTTTATCGGATAAATGTTTCAAATCCACAATTCCTTATTGGGTCCAAGCCGTGTCCCCTCCAAAAAGATGGGAAACAGAAAAGTGAATTCCTAGCTACACTTGCCGTTATCCAGTCCGTTCACTGAGACCACGTCATTTGGATGATGTGTCCCCAATCTCTTCACTTCCAATTTTTCCTCCAATGACATTAAAGAAAATTGATTAGAAAGTAAATAATCCACCTTGTTCATGTTCATGCTAACGCCCGCAATTGCCACAGTTGCTCACTTCCCGCTCTCCACATTCTACTACGAACTAGCCTCACTGTACAGTAGCTACTGTGCTGTGATTGGTCGAAGGTCACTGTACTGTAGCTACTGCGCTGTGATTACTCGAAGGTCACTGTACTGTAGCTACTGCGCTGTGATTGGTCAAAGGCACTGGCCTTTGGGCTGAATGAATTTAGCCCAAATGGGCAGCATATGAAGGGTGTGTGTCAAGACACCTGTCAATCAAAATTAAATGGAAGCTTACTAAGCTTGGGCTGGAATGAATTTAGCCTAAATGGGTGACATATAAAGGGGGCGTGTCACGACACATGTCAATCAAAATTGAATGGAAGCTTATGCTACTGTGCTTGGGCTGTAAAAATTAAGCCCATTCACAGGAAAAAACCCAAGATATATCATATATCCTGGGTTGTTAGTATAATTTTGCACAGATAACCAGCCTGTTGAGTATAATTTTGCACAGATAACCAGCCTGTTGAAGATGTCAAATGGAATTCTAGGAAATGTAGGAAATTGCCAACTGAAGTGGCTGTAGATGAGAGAGGTTGAAGTTGGTACTCCTCAAAAGTTAATCACACTATTTTCATCAATGTTAATTTGAAAAAGATTCCCCCTCCCTTCCCACACCTTAAATGGCACATGGGTCAAAACAAAACAAAGTAAACAAAAACAAAACAACAACAAAACAACAAACAAATGAAAAATAAATACATTCTGAGAATATATACACTGCATACACACATTTAAATACAAATAAATAAAAGAGACAACAGTCATAGATAATACTGACAGCCACCACTTCACAAAATATATCTTAGCTTAACTCTTACCCTCTCAAGGGCCCCCGATAGGGCATCAACCTTTTCTCTCTCTTTTGCATTACTGATTTGAGCCACAGAGAGTTCTAGAGGAATAATGTTGCCAAGGAAAGGATCCATTGCGAGATTAGGCGTTCATGACGAGGTTTACACCTTACTACTAACAATTTTTTGGCAACTGTCGGACCTAAAAGCAGAAGTCTTCTCTGACATTACTTACATTTATTCCATAATCATCATTCAAAAGTAAGACACAAGAAAAAAATAGGGATATTGGCTTCTTTTATATCAGACAACACAAGTACAACTGACATGCAAATAGGTTCCTACTTCATTAATATTATATAATGTGCAGATGGGTGTGGGACAAAGCTGGAATCGAAAACTTTTCCTAGGAGTCAGAAAGAATGTGTGAATACATTTAAATTTATGATTTGATCATTATAATTTCAGGATGAGCATGATGACCACATTTTCCCACACTCTTTTTCATTTAACAGACTCCTCCTTACAATTCTTAAAGTCAACATTCCAGACCTTGGTCACACCCAACGATGGGCATGTATCTTCTCAGAACGTCTTGTACATGTATATTGTACAAGATACAAAGCCCTCAAATTTAGGTTTGATCATTATGCAATTAAGAAGTGGCTGTATGGCAAATTATTTTTCCAAGTAATCCAATGAGGAAAATTGGTGTATGTCTATGCCATTTGTGAAGAAGATACTGAGATTGTGTAATGGTTCACAGATTTTTACATTAAATTTTTTTTAAAGATTTTCTGCAAAATGGAAAAATATAACTTTAAGTTAATAATCGCTCCAGAGCAATTTCTGCATCCATGTTTTACACTTGATTAAATAAACAATAAAAAATGTACATGAATTAGATTAGATTAGATTAGATTCAACTTTATTGTCATTGCAGAGTACAGGTACAAGACAACAAAA